TGCAAATATCTTCGCACCATGAAAGTTTAATTTCAGACATTGCGGAATGTCTTCCAACTGATAACTTCCCGCCACTAGAGGATATTTCTGAGCTGGCATCAGACATCAGGTCTAACATAATTGATGACTCGTCCACGTTTTTATTAAGTTTGGGGCTATTTGATCAAGCTTTTGCTTGAACAGACAACTTACAGCTGTGGCTGTTCTCAGCTGCTATCGGATGAGCGTAATAACTTGACCAGGCCTCACCAGTACTGTCTTGTTCCTAAAGCATACCACGTGCCTGGAAAATTCTTGGGGAACTTAGTAGTACCATCACAGGCGGGCTTTCATTTCATTCAGCAACTAGAAAATCACTTTCTTCCCATAATGGAGAGTGTGACTGATGTTCGAGGAGTGTGTGCCGCCTTGTATAGCACACTTTAAGGTCTGGGTGGTTTTCGCCTTTGCCCAGAGGAGTTCCACAAAGGGTTTTTAAAATTGTTTTGCAGAATACGCTCGTGTTGACATGTTTGATTTCTTAACCGGAATTCGGACAAAGTTCGGTTGCACTCTTCAGTGGCTAGTAAGAACGAGACAGGTTTAACTGTTAATAGCGTATTAACAGAGGCGGTTGCCAAACCAAAAACAAAAAGTGCTTAAGTGGGCGGTGCAGCTTGCTCTCCAAATATTTGTTTCCCCCTTTTTCCAGCGAATGTGTATCACGGCTCCCTAACAAAAATATTTGTCCACTTTCTAAAAAAATTCGATAGAAAATAGTGTATAGAGGCTAACAATATCTGAAAGAAAATGTATCCACTTTTGTATCCACTGTCCATAGTTTTTTAGCCGCTTTTTTCTGAAGCCATATTTCTTTTCTGGACAATTTCGGGGAATATTTAGGGACGTTGAATCTTGTCAGATTTCAAATAGAGTTCTCATTGTTTGGTAATGGCTCGCCCGCAGTGAGTTTGAGGCTATGCAAATTGGTGTTTTTTTTTTTTTATATTTGCCGGAAATCGGGAATTTGTACTATCCGGCGTGTGCTTCGCACTGTTATTATACTCTTATGACTGGTAATGATAGCGATGTCTTATTTATTTTTGCACTTACTTCCCGTACCCGAGTCGGCGTGAAAGTGAATGTATCATACAGCATGTTCTCCGTGGAAGGGTTTTGTTAACTTGGTTCCGCTAAGAATCTATTACGAAGTGTACGAATGCCGAAGTCCTTCATATTCATTTATTTTTGTGAGTATCGATCTCTTTCGTATAAAACATACAGAGCTTCTGAAGTAAATCATGTGTACATGAATGTGGTCCAATAAAATGTGTTCGAACCACTTACTGTTGTTGACCCCAAAATGTTCCACCAGCCAGGAGTCAATGCGGTGATTGTGTAACTTCAATGCTTTACAATATAAAAAGAACAAGAAACATATATACTTCTGCTTTGTGAAGCAAGTTGAAATATTGTTTGACACATTTTGCAAGGACTCTATCGTAAAAAATAAAGCAAAAGTGTGTCAGTATGAAAAAAAAAAACAAAAAAAAACAGCGGCTTCGGGAGTCAAGGTTCTCCCGAGAGATGAGCGAGGCGGGGAGGAAAGAGAGAGAGAAGGGTATTGGAGAACCGGAGCAAAAACGCCCAAACCGAAACCGAAACTAACTTGACCGGAAACGGAATCAGATTATGCTTAATACCGCCCGCTAGGAGCGCTACCTGTCACTGGTCTATCTGGGCCACTGGGGCCTATGGCAGTGTCCGCTCTTTACCTTGTGTATATTACTCTATGTTTGTGCCATCCCGACCAAAACCTCCCCCATCCCCTTGGGATGTCTACGTTAACGCGATTCCGTGCAAAAGCGTGACGTTGTTGCCACGTGATGCGCATCCCGGGAATGGCCGATTCACACGACGGATTGATCCGCGGACGGATTGATCACGTGACGACATGTCTGCGGTTCGTCCGTCTCCCAAGCGCGTCCACACGAGCGAGACGACGAGCAGACGCCAGTGAGGACGGACCGAACCTGTTCGCCACCCCACAGTGCCGCGAAACTCCAACATCGCACCGTGGCACCATTGTACAAGGGAGAAATCGTCGTTTGCTACCGCGATGAAGGATCGTACGCCGCTGTTACGTACAGATCGAGACAAAACACCGTGATAGGCTTCTCGCGAAGCGCCACTAGCTTTACTAACCCGAAGTATGACAGTGACAAAGGCATGGTCCTGCATGAGAAACGTTCGGCGTAGAAGCGACGAAGTTCTGGGCTCGCGGAGCGGCGTTTGGAGATGCTTTCACGCAGTCCGCCCTCGTGCATAACACTCAAGCACACCACAGCCACAAGAAAGGTCTTGCTCGGTGAAATCCTGATTGGACGTGCGAGAACTATCGCGGCGTGCTAGTCGAGTTTTGACGGGAGCTTCTTAACACGGACCCGGAGTACCGGAACCTGCCAGACAAAGTTTCTGCAGTTTCTTTCACGCATGAAACCGAGAATCGCGCGACAAAATAAACCAGCGAACGCACAAAACACAACGATGCGCCATTTTCGGTTTGACCGTCCAAAAACAAATTAAGAAAACTATGTGTCCCGTTGCCAGACTCAATGCTTTTCAAGTCGATCTCCCGCGAAAAATCCGCGGGTGAAAAAGTCGCTCGACTTTATCAGTCCGCGCGTCCGCGGACGAGGCGCGGATCACAGGAATCGGTGACGTGCCTGTCACGTGGCACACGGTCCGCGGACGAAAATCGCGATTCGGTCCGCCGCGTGAATCGGCTAGAAGCAAAGAAAGGAATTTCTTCCCCGTGTGAATACCCTTTGACGAACAAGGACTTTGCCTTCGTGAAAGGGAAGAGGAAATACTCGAAACGCACGTTGTGCTTTGTTGACGAACAACTCGCTTCAACGAGCGACAAAAGCACGGCCTAGGTCGGCCTGGTCCCACCGCCCACCGCCCAAGAACGAAGACCAGCTGCGCGGGGGCGAAGGTTCATTGTATTTGTCGAACACGTGGTCACACTCTCTTCCATGCGCGATGAGACGCTTTCGGATGGGTTTGCTTGCCGTACTAGTGTCCAACGAGAAAAGGATTGTGCGATATCAATCGTAACTATATTTTTATTCGGGCTATCAACAATCCCATTCAAGGGGAGATAAAGTAACAAAACTGCCACTTTATTTTTTTCCAAGACTATGTTTTGGGTTTTAGGGTGCTGTATTTCGATTCAGCCGTGCACTGTCGCAAAATTATACTTGAAATATTGCTTTATTTTCATTACTTTATTTTTTAAAAAGCAGCGGTTCAGTATGCGTGCAATACAATGGAATTGCTTTACTCTGTAACGCAAACAATTTATTCAGGTCGGCACTTGTAGTTCCCCAAACTAGGTGAGTGTAATTTTAACGAGAATTGAATCATACGTTATAAATTATAAGCTTTACACTAGTAATCAGAATATGGCGATCATTGTATAGAGCATTTGTGATACTCTCGAATTTAAGACCAATGGGGTCAAGTGGGTGTTGGGGTTTTTCTAAAGTGGGGCTTTTTGCGTGGGGAAAAGAGGCAAATGTTTGAAGGTATGTGCAATGAATGACTTGACGCCTAAACTTCGTCTCAGCGTATGTCCATTCGCAGCCGACACCGCGAGCTAATGGGAGCAATTAAACATCGTCAAAAGCGAAAGTCACTGGGTCTTTTCTGTTTATGATTGGTACAGCTATGATAGAACACGTGCAGAAACGTGACGACCGCCGTGATTGTGCCCTTTTGACGCAGTCTGAATTGGTCCCATCATCTCTAACCGCTCATTCACACTAAAAGCAAATCCGCGTTGGCAAAGGGGTTGCGAACGCGGTTGTAGAAAGATCCAGTACACTTTCACGCGCATTTGATGTCATCAAATACGCGTGCAATTGTACTGGACCTTTATATAACCGTATTCGCCACCGCTTTGTGAACGCGTGTCCGCTTCCAGTGTGAATGAGCGGTTAGCGTCAACTGCTTCTGGAACGAGGTATAGAAACACCAACAAAATTTAAGTTAGTCTTTTTTTTTTCTTTGGGTTTTGGGAGGAACAGGCAATACTCGTTACACTACAGAGTAGCACATAAGTGTAAAAGTATATTTGCTAGCATTCGATTCATCTTCCTAAGTATACGCACACCATTTGCTTCAAGTTCATTAAGTAAAGATGGCAACAAATAGTTTAATTATGTAAAACCGTAATTAGTACGAAGTGTTGAAACACTCCACGTCTCGCCATGACAAGCGACATACTTATGATCTAAATTAGTTAAGCGCAACAGGGCAGAAATAAAGAAAGCATTGTTATGTTTTCATCGTTGTAAATCGCCAGCAACCGAAACTTGTACAGCTCTTCAATGGGAATGACACGATGCATTGAAAAGAGTTCGTTAGAAGGATGGAAAAACTGAACATTTGCAACAATTCGAAGAGCCCTCTTTTGAGTTAGTAGTAGCTACGCCACTGCGTCCTAATCGATCTCCTCCGAGGTAATCGAAGCTTGGCAGTGCGTATCTTTATCAGCTTGTATGAGTTATACACTTAGACTTCCCTGCAAAAAATTCACAATTTCAAAGGCACTTCGATACCAACACAAAACGTATGATGCCTCATAGACTGCCCGAAAATTGTTGGCGATAAGCGAACATCCCCCCCCCTCTCCCTTTCTGCGGTTTGTCTGCCTGTGACGCGTGATGCAGCATTTTCTCGCAGTGAACGGCGGCCGGAGTAAAACCGTGAAAGGATGGGAGGCGGAAAGGATGTAAAAGAGGGGAGGCTAAGATATCGGTAAGCAGCTGCATTCGTATCTCGATTAATGTTGATGCGACACGTGGCGTGAAAATGGGAAACTAGGCCAACGTGTTGGTCGAAGCTGTCCACGGAAGCTGTTGAGGTGACAGTCTTCCCGCAGTGCCCGTCAAACTTCGAGAGCGGCGTCCGAGAGAAGGTTGGTCAGCGTCGCCGCATTTGCTGTTGTCCGTGGCATGGCGGCCGTGGCCATCGTTCTATTCCTCCTTGCTGCCGCGAAGGTGACCAGAGCAGATGATCGCCGCAAGCAACCCCACATTGTGTTCATCCTGGCAGACGACCTGGTAAGCGATATCTTTTTCAGTATACAGCGTGTCCCAAACAAAATTTACATTTTTTTTTTTTTTGTCACCGCAAAAATAAAATACGCATCGGCCAACGCTCATTGTCCGCCCAATGTGACTCTAGCTGTACGAGGCAGATGCCGAAGTTTATTCCAAAGTTATGCGATTTTCTAAATGACAAATTGGGTTCAGTTTTTGCCCGTTTTCAGTAACTGGTACATACCATAGAATTTCTTGTATTAGAGAGCTGCAGATGTCGACCGTCCTTTTGCCTTTGGATATTTAGAAGAAATAACACAACTTTTGAATGAAACAGCGGGTTTTGCTGAAATTTCAGCATCTGGTTCGAATTACTAGCGCTTCCATTGTTTGGGCGGGGCAGATACATTTGGCGAAGCGTAGGTTTTTGGTAATTTATTTTTATAGTTCAGGAAGCTAATTTTCAGGAGCGTAAGGGCAGTAGCTAACATTTCCTTTCTGTCTATATACATGAACTCAAATCTTTGACGTCGCTTCACAGAGATGGTGTTTCGTCGTTTCGAGCGCGAAAATTGTAGGTTTTTTGGCCCGCGCCTGTGTCATGTTAATACAGAGCGTAGTGGAAGCTACAGGAGCGAGCTCCGCCCTTTGGACGGAACTGCCGAGCAAGAGCGCTCGTACAGTGAAAGAGTAATTTAATGGCAGAATGATATAGACCCCTTTGCTCTTTACAAACATTAACTGCCGCTTGCGTCCCAAGCAACTTCCGGTCGCACAGTCTTTGCAAGCCTGTTGAGCTTGCTTATGTCACCAGTACTAGAAAGCACATTTTCTACATGGACAACAACGTTCGAGATTTAACGAGGGCCTTCGGCTGTGCAATATTACATCTTGAAGGAGGCAAGTTGGTTTACAAGAATACTTGAAACATTTTAACAGATCTCGCACTCCTTCGTCCTTTTGGCGTTCACCTGGAGAATTGCTCGTTAAACGTTTCATCTACATTTCAAGCAGCTGTGTTAAGATCGCCGCGTTGCCATGGCAACTCGTTGTTCATTCTTTTTATAAACCGGAAGTTCTCTGGGACGTCAAAGACAGGAGCACCATCTGGTGGCGTTTGCCATAAAAGGGCTCTATACTCCGTTCACCCTTAACCTGAGCCTGCACCCAATGCCACAAGCACGAAAGCTCGAGGTCGCTGCTTTGGGGCGTTCTTCTGCAGAACGACTGTTCGAGCTAGAATGCATGTCTCAAAGACAGGAGCGCGGGCTAGCTCGCGCTTGTAACTTTGGCTGCAGTCTCAGCTTAAGGGTGAATTGAGTATAGGGAGTATTCACTGGACGCCATATTTGTGGGTGCTGTTTAGAGCGCATGCTCAGAACGAGCTCACATCAATAGGCTGCTAAGACCGGCATTCTTGATGGTGCGAAATGCGCGTTCCAGAAGAACTGTGGAACCTCGCGCGTCAGCACGCGCTCAGCATTCGCGCACACAGCTATGGCCACCAGTGAATACTCCCTATAGCGGTTGCATGTTCAGCTTCGCTTACATTTGAGTGTGTTCGTGTGAGTCGCACTCCCGTGTAGCGGCCTAATGCACTGGCACACTGGTCATCCATTGGGCAGCCATGTAACCGTTCCGACCATTTACAATCCCGCATTCCAATCCCAGAAACAATTGACAGCGACCCTTAATTTTAGAGTGCTGTAATGAATGAAATGCATTACAGGGACGTGGTGAGGGAATCGGTGTCATGTGACGTATATTTTCTCGCTAAATTTAGCGGGGAAAGTTGATGGTTGTAAAGGCCACATGACGTCAGGTAACGTGACGTCGATTTTCCCCGCTAAATTTACCTGGGAAACTGGATTGGTGGGTAGGTCAAAAGGTGTAACTTTTCTTCCCTAAATTTAGCAACGAACTAAATTGATTTTTTGGCCACAAGACGTGCATTTTCCCGCAAAATTTAGTGGTGAAACTAAGTTTACGTATCGGTCGCGCGCTGTTACTTTTCTCAAGGTTATTAGGTCAGGTGACGTCGCGTGACACCGTTTTCCCCGCTAAATTTAGCGCAAAAGGCACGCACCGGCGGACAAAAGTTTGGGATTGGGGTGGGGGGGGGGGGGGGGGGGGGGAGTAGCGATAAAGAGCATTTTATGCTTTAAAGCGTGAACGACAAGGCGACAGCTGGATGGATGTCTATGGCTGAACCCTTGAAATCAAGTGGCGGCTTGTACCACCCAGCCAAAGCTTCTAACTGAAATTGTCTAATCTCCGATTAAATACGTAATCGATAAAGAAGGGCAAGAGGACTTCATATCGCTGCTAAGCACAAGCCTTTATCTACCACTCTCCACAAAACATCGTTTTTATCTCGATCTATGCCACCAGTCGGATGACCTGTGCTTGCTGATCTCCGCTTTCCCAGAGTAATGAAGCAATGGTGAGGGTGCAGGCTAGCTGGTGTAAATTGAGCATAGTTGTAACCCGAGACTGGGGATACGGACAAGGGACAAAACACAGAACGACAGGGACGAAGTCTCGTCCCTGTCGTTCTGTGTTTTGTCCCTTGTCCGTATCCCCAGTCTCGGGTTACAACTATGCTCAATTCCCAGAGTAATTCACCGTCGCTGCCTTGAAAGCCCGAAGCATCCACTAAATTAGTATCGACTTGAGCAACCGCAGGGTGAAGTCATGTACAGTAAAGTATTAAGTGTTCAGCCGTTTCCTTTTCTTTCTCACACGCCCCACGCACCGTATCTATGTCCTGATATTTTTCTTTGTACACCCTATTTTGTAACGTCCCGGTCCTGGTCTCGAGCAACGAGCTTCTTCTGGAATTGTTATATACTTCCCTCAGAAATATTCGTTTTACATTTCTTACATTTTTCTATAAATCTCCAGAGTTAATGTAGTCTGCATTCCCGCTTCTCATATTTCACTCTCCGCTGCTTGAACTCTCTTCTTAGCTGTCATTCCCTGACCTGTACCGTTATTGCCCAAATATTTCGACCTGGCTGTTCTTATATGCTTTCTCCTCTTTCTGTCCCCGCCTTTCATATAAAAATAGCCAAAAACGCTCCATACCCTCCTCCATGTCCCTTAGTCTCTTCAAATTCTATATTAATACTAGCTTCCCTGCCTTTAAATGATGACCGTCCCTTATCATTTTGTCCCCCCTGATTCGGTGTTTTACCATGCGCTCCCAACGTCAATCTGCCCACACTGCATTACTTTACTTCTAATCTTGCTTGGATATTAGACTTGATACAGAGGACTGCATTGCCAAAAGTTAAACTATTCACCATAACTCTCTTCCAGATTTCCCTTACCATCTCATACCTGTTATAATTCGACAAAGCTCTATTCTTCATTACAGCTATCTTGTCCTTGCTAGTTACATATTTTTCATGCTCACTGAGATTATCCACACTGTCATGAATCCATACCCGCATGTACGTATATTTATCTACCCTCTGAACCACGAACTCTTAAGTTCTTCCTTCTCGTCATCATTAAAAATCATGACTGCTGTTACTAAAATCTAAACCTAGCCTCTGTCATTTGGTACCACATATATTTATTAGCTCCTGTAGATCCGCACTGTTATCACCCATTAGCACTATCATTCGCATATATGAGATGTTAATGCCTGTTTAATATTTTGGCTTCCCCTGAGGTAGGACAGGTCAAACCACGACCACTCTTCTCCAGCTTTTTCTCTAGTCCTTGTAAATGCACCATGAATTGTAACGGTGATAAACGACATCCTTGTCTTAAACCCCTCTTTATCTCAATTGGTTCCGTTGCACTTCCTTCCCATATTACTGTTACCTTGTTACCTATGAACATTTTTAAGGAGCTCCAGTATTCCCTTCTCTTTCTTTAAGCTGTTCATTTTGTCCCACAGGCTCACTTGAACTACATTGTGGTATGCCCCTTTTGTATCCAAAAAAGTTATCCAGATTGACCTACCTCTTCTCTGATACCTCAGTATATTGAGTTGAAAAAAATTATGCTCCAACCCCCTCTGTTTGCGGAATCCAAGTTTGTAGTTCTCCCAGCACATTCTCGTTCTGTAGCCACCTCTGCAAATTGTCCATTATACCCTGCATTACTATTTTATAAACAACCGAAGTAACCGTTGTGGGACGGTAATTGCCTATTTTTGTTTATTAAAGTCAATTGACTTTAGATTCCATTCTTCTGGGACGTCTCCATTCAATAGATATTTGCTCACTGCCTCCCTTAATGATGCATTAGGTTTTGTGCTTTATATTTTTAATAACATAATCAGAATGCCATTTGGGCCTGTTGATGTACCGCTGGGAACTTTATGCTCCGCCCTTTTCTATTACGCTTGTCTTATAGCTTCAAGTTAATTGTCTTCCTCCTCTGCTCCAATACCACCTATGAATGTGTGCTCGTTGAATTTTTCTGCTATCACCGTTGTTATTTGTCGCATCGCTTCCTCCCTTTTCAATTCGTTACATTGTGGTGCAGCGATGTAGAGCTGCTTCAGCTTTGTTTTGTTACTTAGTGAGTTAAGGTACTTCCAAATATTTTCGCTGCCTTTCTATTCTTTTTGTTTGCCCTCCCTTTCTCGTGACTTTTTTTCATTCATGAAACAAGACTCCTCCTTCCCAAGCCTTAGAAATTCGTCCCATTTTATTTTCACTTCAGCCTCAGACTCACACCTACGCTTCGAATTCCTGTGTTCTCTAGAAGCCTCTCGACGTTTCCCTATTGCTGCCATTACTTTGCTATCCTACCAGTTCTTGGGTTTGTGTCCTCTCTTTCCTTTGTTTCCTTCGCACTTTAGCTAGCTCTCGCTCAGGTAACCTAGTTAGACTCGTGTAATTAAATTCCTTTTGCGTGTCTAGAAAATTTACTTGCTTTATTTGCACAGTCACTACTTCCAATTGTTTTCTGCTTAAAAAGCAAGGAACTTTTTATCTTGCCCCATTTCTGAATTCGACTGTCTTGTAAAGTTTAAACTTCATACGTTTATGGTCATTACCCAAGCCCTCGGTGCCCTCTTCGTCTATTTTAATCACCTGTAGTTTGCTGTAAATCATGTGTGGCATTGAAGTATAATCTTAGTAGATTGTGATCTGCCCGATTCCCATGATATAATGCCGTCGCAGTTCTCGCTACTATTGTATAAAACCAAATCATGTCTCTCGCACATGTCCAATAGCATGCCTCCTGCCGAATCCATTTATTTATCTAGGACATCTATGTGAGCATTGAAAACTCCTGCTATTACTATTTCATGCTCTTTCCCAAACTCATTGTCTCTAGATGTACATTCTAACATCCTCTTGTATTCTTCTTTGGCATTCGCCGAGGCTTCGCCACTCTGACAAATCGAGACTGGCATTTCGAACTCCTCGTGAATAACACAAAGCATTTTATCTGTCGCACACTTCTGCGCAAATCGTGATACTGCCGTAATGTAAATCTAAGGCTGATATTGATTGCTGTGCTATCACAGGGCGTTCAAAACTTGCATGCTGCATTGTCAACTTCGCGATTATTGCCGGGTGTAATGAAAGACTAGCGCTAATAGGCGCGAATATACGCCCGTTCCGCAGCTACTCGATAGACGGAGTCAGCGTGCGAATGTGTAATGCGGTTACACGCGTGAACGAACCGCATTCGATTACACTGAAGCGCGAATGTGTGAACCGGTATTTTGCGTAAAACGGAAATTGTCTTATGCGCGCGTGTCCAGTCAACACCGCTTCGAATAACCGAAGCCTGTGCTGACGTCAGCATTCTGACGTCATCACAGTGAGACCGAGCAAAGGGGCGGATTGGAGGCGAGTGCCGCTTCAGCGTTCGACTGTTTCTCGCGTCCAATCAACGCGTCGAAGAACGCTCGGCATCCGACTCGTGTTCAATTTCTGAGAACCGAGTTGGCACCATCTATGACGACGCTCCATGAAGGATGCTGACAGGTCTTGGTATTCTAGGTGGCTTTGGTCCAGTGGCCACAGTTTTCACGCCACCACACGCTTGTTTACCAAGAACGAGTGTGTATGCAATATTCATTGCTCTCGTTTTCGCCGTGGTGTCATTCGTTTCTTTTTCTTTTTATACAGGGATGGAACGACGTCAGTTACCACGGCAGTCCCCAGATTCTGACACCGAACATAGACGCCCTGGCATGGAACGGAATTCGCCTGAATCGTTATTACACGCAACCGCTGTGCACGCCTTCGCGCTCTGCCTTCCTCACTGGCTGCTATCCCATGAACACAGGTCAGAACTTAAAAACAAAAATGTTTATTTCCTACCGTGCAAGTCACGGGATTAAGAGCACATAGCTCTCAAACAGTTCGTTTGCAAAAACACTCGAGAAAAAGGGGAGGAAAAAACATTGGGTAGGAGATTTAATTGTCGCACCCGTAACGGAAAAGTTAAAAACTAAGCCCATGGGGACAACAACATGCATTATTTGCTTGTGTTTCTGACACAGCGCTTGACTGACGTAGTTCGACGCTGACATAGCACTGGTGCTCCATCGGTGCGCCGCGCTCGATCGACGAAGATTGCGTACCAAATTCGGTCCACATACATTGTGGGTAAACATCCAGCTCTGTGGAAAACAAGCTGGACAAACCGCCCCCTATAATTTGATTTTCTCGCTAATTTTGCGTCCAGCCTTAAGCCCTTAATCTGGGTTAGGCGCCATCTTTGTGAGAGCGATGCGAAGTACGTCTTGGGCAATTTTAACAGACAATGGATGCGTGTTTAAACCTCGCTCATATTGTGAGGGAAACTCTATAGACACTACTACTACGTATATAATTGAAGCTCCAAATACAATATTTTACACGTGCCATTTCCATGTTGTCATTGTGCGATCGGCAGAGGACAGCCCCGCATATCTGAAAATATGAATTTATTTATTTATTTATTTATTTATTTTACCCTCAGGGCACAAAGGCATTACAAAGGGGAGTGGGGAATAATAGCAATAAGAATACACAAGGAACAATGAACAAAAAACTCAAACAACTCAAACAATATGGAACATGAGGTTGGCAATAGAAGTACAAAAAAGAGCGTGGTCAGTCATTGATGTTAGAGATGCAGGTAATCGGTTCCAATCGTTAGAAGTTCTTGGGATAAAAGAAGCGTAATAAACGTTAGAGTGACAAAATGGTACACCAACTTTTTGACGATGATCAAGGCGTGCTGAAACAAAGTATGGGGGGATTATCATTTAGGCTTTGAGGTAAGGAACATGGTGATAGGTTTTATGAAAAAGGGAGATTCGAAAAACCATGCGACGATGTGCGAGGGTTGGAAGTAATAATGAGCTTTTCATGGACGTTACGCTTGCGGTGCGGTTATAGTTGGCCAGTATAAAACGTGTAGCTCTGTTCTGAACACCTTCAAGTGAGCTGATGAGGTAGATGGTTGAGGGATCCCAGATGGAAGCTGCATATTCGAGCTTAGGCCTAACTAGTGTTTTATAAAAAGTCAGTTTTAATGACGATGGACCTAAAGGAAAGTTACGTTTGAGAAAGCCAAGCATTCGGTTAGCGTTGTTAATCACATAGTTAATATGAAGTTTCCAGGAAAGGTCGTCACTTAAGATCACACCTAGGTACTTGTAGGAGGTCACAAGTTCCAGGGGTGTGTTGTGAATGTTATAAGCGGTAGTAAATTTGACTTTGCGGGCTATGCGCATGATTTTACGTTTGTTAATGTTAAGCTCCATTGACCAGAGTTTGCACCATCTACATATGGAGTCGAGGTCATGTTGTAGTTTTTGCGAGTCCGACGCTTTTCATTGAATGAACGCTTGACGAGTTTCATGCATATTTAACAGTGACCCGGTGTATGCTTGTAAATATACAGCTCGTCAATCTACAAATATCTAGTTTTTATTTATTACTTGCCATGCAACACGGAGTGGAGACATGTAACCCTATATTGGTAACCAGGCAAATTAAACACATAAAAAAGGAAGTTGCTGTACTTCCACCTTTCTTCACATAGCATTCTTCTCACACGTATAGGTTTAGTGCCGCATTTTTATTAAACAAACGAGTGATATGCCAAGGATTCAAACCTTGCACTGCGTACTCTTCTTGTCTAGGAATGCAGCACAGCGTCATTTTAACAACTGAACCCCGAGGACTCCCTCTGCATTACAAACTTCTTCCGCAATGGCTCGGAGACTTCGGATACGTCAGCCGGATGCTAGGAAAGGTTGGTGTAATGACTTAGCAAACCATCTGTCCTTTTCATCAGAGCCTATGTTTAAAATTTTATATTTTTCAGTGGCATCTGGGTTACTATAAGGAGGAGTATACCCCAACAATGCGAGGTTTTCAAAGCCACGTCGGCTCTTGGGAGGGATTTTCTGATTATTACAGTCATATCATGGATTTCTCATGGCAGGTACGTAACCTCTGGTACAACCGATTCATTTCTAAGTAATGTTGTATCACTAACTTTCGATGTCTGCCTAGATTCTCGTCCAACGCTCGTGTATATTTGTCCATTCACAGTGCATACTTAAAATATAGTTCCGGGCGGGGAATTCTGTTAAACCGGGGTCACACTGCTTTCAGACATTTTCCATAAGGGCGCCGCCATCTTGAATTTTCGTCACTTCCAGTATGGGCGACGACAAAATAGTAAAACGTTTCAACCTGTTATCAATAAAAAAAAAATAGAGGGGAGCCAAAACGAGAATGTGTGACGGCTAGGCTTATATTCTAAATGTCTTCTATTGGCGTGCCAACGGCAAAGTAATGTTATCGCCCATACTGGAAGTGACGACAATTCAAGATGGCGGCGCCCTTGTGGAAAAGGTCTATACATTATACAAAAGACAGTCTGCATAAAGATTCGAACGCGAGTCACCGCGAGGTCTGTGCTTCGAACGCCCCGTGACAATTCGTTCAAGGTGAAACTTGGCACGCGGCATTCGAACCACGGATATTGCGGGGGCTCGAATTTGCGGGCTGTCTCTATGTATGAGCAGATGTGACCCCGGATTTAGTATCTGAATAGACAGACGCCATTGAAGAATCGTAAGTTCCGTTGTTATTAAGCATATTACTTTTTTCAACAGACATGGTCTATCTCGGGGCACGATTTTCGGAGAGATATGCAGAAAAGCAAAGAAGACGACGGGAGATACTATACCCACGTGATGACGGAGGAAGCCCTCAAAATTATAAAGGATCACCCGAATGAAAAGGTGGAGTAGCACTTCCAACTTACCTACGTGGTTTTTCTTTTTCTCTTTTTTGCAATTTGGTAATTGTTTGCACGTAACAACTTTTGTTTTATAGAGCCGCAAAAAGCAGAAATAGTGGGCACCTTAATACTGCAGTCAGTCTCCATAGAAACTCTCCGCACATTAACTTCTCCGAAGAGGAAGCGTAAAGCCGATCACTGGTCATAAACACAAACTCCGCGAATGACGAGATCTTCATTGACTCAAAACAAAGTGGCTTAAGAAGTATTCACACCTCAGTATAATATTGCAGTAGATACCCCGCCTCTATCTCAAGCTTTCTGTTTTTAACAACACTTAGCGCACGCTCAGCCGAAGCCTGGCGGGAGGCAGCGAGCACGTGCTGGAGGCGGAGCTTGTTATAGATGCTGAGACTGCCACCGACTATAAATATAGCAAGTGACCCTCTGCCGATAACAACGGGTTTCGTATGAAATGTAAACTGCACGACAATGTTAACACGAACACGCACTTGGAGCATTTTTTGCATTTTACTCTGAAAGGTATTGGCGGGCATCAAGTTGTACCGCTGTAGTTATCACCCCGACTGAGCACGTTGCACCACACTGGTAGTTTTTGATGACAACTCTTTAATTTTAAGAAAAAAGAAAAAGATAGAAAAGAAAAAAACAAGCGATCGCCTGTTCGAACTAAGTCGATGCGGAGCAAAACACATTCAAGGTGCACGGCAAAACGCAAAGTTGTGGTGCCCTGAAGCATCATGTCACCTCCTCACGTCGTATTGTTTCTTGTTGTTGTACTTTTTTTTTTTTTGTTAGCCAAGTTTATTTTAAAACCAAGAATTTGTAATTGTGTTCTTCTGCTAACAGGCTTCATCGTAAGTTTAAGGTTTAAGCCTTTTATTGGTCCGCGTTATAGCCCTCCTGTTCTGAAGTCCATAGTTCAAAACTTGTTTTACCACTGGTCCTGGTCCGTTCTCTAAGCATTGCTTGAACCGCTTTTTGCAGCCCTTATTTTTGTATATAGCGCATCTTGCGGTGCACTCCGGGAACCAACCAGAGCCGCTGAAGGCCCCCACCAAGTACACGGACCCATACATGGACATCGGACATCCGAGCAGAACCTTGTACGCTGGTGCGTTTTAATCTCATTCTGGATTTCCTGCAAGGCGCTTTTCTATTGACTCCTGTACTTTATCAATTGAGAAAAAAAAGTATAAGGAGAATTGTACGGAAGTAATTGGTTTGTCTATCTTCACTTTGCTGTTCGCGACAAGGGTCGCGAGCCCTAGCGGGAGTTCCACAACTGATGTAATCTAGTAAAGTTGGCTTCTTTTTACTGAGGAAATTGGCTTTTTGGTTGGGCAGCTTAAAGGGACTGCCCGGTCAAAACCGGAAATACTTAAGATTTTGTGGTCGTTACGCCGAGGGAGCATCCATATGCAAATGCGTCATTCTTATTTTAATATTTGATGTCCAAATATTAATTAAACCTTTCCTTCGCGTGTGTGCAAAACTGCACCCCCAATTTCGCCAATGTCAACGGCTGACATCTGTAGCTGCAGCGTGGCGTCATATAACGCAAAGGATCGTCGGATGGTAAGGATAACAAGCGTTGGTTGATGGATGTCTTGTATTTTGTTTCGAATTATATACTCTCCTAGCCTGTACTCTTCCGAAATTCGTTTCTTTTAATGCAGTTCCCAAGCGTGTGCAAAAAGTCGCACCTTTTAGCAGGATATTACTTGAAAACAGCCGTTAGTTTCGAGCAAACGTATGCCGTTCCGCGCATACGCAACTGCGACGGCCACAGATCGGACAAGGAGCGCTTGCAAAGAGGATGATGCACATTTATTTTCTGAAGCGGATTCTGGGTCCACGAAGCGGCATCTGGCCGGGACCACATATCGGCGGATCCACTGCGGGTTGTTCCCTCGGAGGCGATGGCCACGCAAACGGCGAATCGTTCAAAATGCATGTAACATTTTTATATCGCCACTTGACTCGGACGAGTTTGGTGAATCGTAAGCAACGCTTTCTTTCCACACGTTGGTCAAAAAGAATCTGGGTGCACGCGTGCTAACTTTTGGCATTGTTTCAGGATTGCTTAGCTGTTGGTTTCGGTATCACTGCATAATCAAACCGATTGATCCCACTCGGGTGGGGAGTGGGGGGACGTAGTTGAATGTTGGCACAGCATCACACCCCAGCTTACGAGCCTTTTGTCCGCTTAGAGCACAGCTCGGTCGTAGCATCTCTTCCGTTAAAGGATTTCTGCAGAAGCGGGATCTTGACTTTGACGGGAACTTAGTGCTCCCTACTCACGGTAACGATCCATTTTGCTCGTCGCTGCACGTCTCACGCGGAGCCGGATATGTAGAGAGTTTGGCCATTCGTTGGGTAGTATATATGTAGAAGACAAATCAGGAGGCGTCATTGGCCGACAGCGGGTCTTAGCGTGTTCCTGGGCGTCTTCACGAATTCAAATGTGGCCAACCAGACGCCGGAAATAATACCCTGGCGGTGGTCGCGAGAAACAAACCTGATAAGTGCACTGGAGTAACTCTCGGTGACTGAAAATATGGTGCACGTGATGTTTCAATTACGGTCATCCAAAATCATGCTGGAAGAATGCGACTAGCGAAACGATGGACGTAATCCGTACGCCAAGCACCGAGGGTCGTGAATCTGCCGTCCGAGCGGTCACACTCTGTCCGAGCAAAACAAAGTTTAGCGGCTGCATTCGCTTCTTATATCTTTCTGCATGATCATGATCGAAACATCACGTGCACCTTATTTTCAACCACGAAGGGTTACTACACTTCACTCCTACGCGCTTATTAAAACCATATGCCAACATATACCTTCGATTAAAACAGTTTCTCGCTACCACCGCTAGGGGATTCTTTTCAGCTTCCAGTTGGCCAAGAGGGCATGCCAAGCCCACTTTCTGCGTCTGGTGCACGCCCTGGCTCTGCCCGCGCCTCCCATTGACCAAACTCTCTCTATACACAGCTCTGGTCTCGCAGATCGCAGGTGCTGCCCGGTAGTTGTGTCACCTAACCGTGCAACAACAACATTGCCCATCCACGAAAAAAGTCGAGCACAACAACAAAAATGAAGCACACTGCGGTATTCACTCTGGGGAAAATGGCGAGACGAAAATGCTCGCTTTGCGTTGTGACGTGAGAACTTCAATGTTGTCAACGAAAGCACCGTTCGCGCTAGGATGCGATTGGAGCAGCTTGCAATTCACTCATGCAGATCGGCATCTAAAATTCGTATATTGCACGGACGATGCGTTTCGAGGCCATAGCAATGATATTGAATTGTTTTCTCGAACACAAAATTGACAATGTCTTGCTAAGTGAATCGCTCGTCTGTGTTCTTATCGGCTAAGGCCCCAATATCCCTGGTTGAGACGCGATGATTGGATCTACAGTACGCCCTGTGTTGCTGAAACTCTCGATAACTATAATTAAGCACGCAGCGGTTTGCTAGCTGTAGTATGGCTCTACATTAAAACTCGCGCATAAATGAACTGAATTGTCTTGAAAATGGTCATTCAGATTGCGCCAAGTGACTCGTAAATATTGTTTTTTTTTCTCTCTCTCTCTCTCTATCTCTCTCTCTCTATCTCTCTATCTCTATCTCTATCTCTCTCTCTCTCTCTCTCTCTCTCTCTCTCTCTCTCTCTCTTTGTTTATAGGGATGCTGTCCGTCTTGGACGAGTCGGTTGGCGCCGTCTTCGAAGCTCTCGGTCGTCGAGGGATATTAAACGAAACTATCGTCGTGCTCACCACGGACAACGGCGCGGGGATTACGACCCAATTTTCCAGTTTTGGCTCGGGATGGCCTTTCCGGGGCCAGAAGGGCACGGCATGGGAGGGTGGCGTCCGAGTGCCTGCGGTTGTGTGGAGCCCGTTATTTTCTGAACATCGGGGGGCCGTCGTCGAAAGCCTATTCCACGTCTCCGACTGGCTTCCCACCTTTTATGAGTTAGCGGGTGAGTGATCCGGTTTCAACACTTTTTGCATCGAGTTCTTCGTCTGCATTTCCAAAACGCAGTTTTATCAAGACTGCTTCCATAAATCCGTCCCCGCGCGCGTTGCATTCTGGGAGCCTGTGGTCCAGGAACGGAGTGCGTATGGAGTTGGCTTCCCACTGATTCCCACAATGCATAACGTGGCATCACGCCGCTATGAGCCGCTTCGAGTTTTTAAACAAGTCTATTCCGAAATTTCCGGGCGCTCAGCACCATTGAAGCTCTTCTTACGAGCTTCGTCCATATGCGCCCTCTTTCTCTGCTATGGGGCGTTTTCACTCGCGTAATTTCATCCGCCATTTTCTTGTCATGGGTTTCTGGCACGTTCTAAAGGAGAATATTTTTGTGGAGTTACATGACACGCTCAAGTCACCAGTGCACAAAAGCTTAAGAAGTTTCATCGCACCTCTTCTTTCTTTCTTTTTCGTTTTTTATTCCTCTTGCGATTAAAAAAAAATCCTCGCTCACTTACAACAAAATGGTGGATTGACGTAACGTGAAGACACTTTATAGTCACTGAAAAGGTGCAAACGGCAGGGATGAGCCTGTGGTATTTACCACGTCCCCGCCCAATCGCCTCCAAACTAATTCGCGTCGCAGACAAGCTCTCGTGAACATCTAAAAGAAACAGGGCCGGCTTCTAGAAAGCCGGCCCTGTCAGCTCAGCTGAGCCCTGTCAGCTCAGCAACGTCTCAGCTGAGACTGGGGGGAAGAAGCACTGCCAAAGCCAGCGCACTATCTGAAAGGACCTCAAACCAAGACGCTCGCGCGCCCCAGCTTTTGGAGTGCTTTCTTTCACCCAATCTCGGCTGAGGCTGTCCTGGCAAGCAGGCCCAGGTCTTGTTGGAGCAACAATTACTAAAGGACATCCGTTCAAGCCTAAGTTTTCAAAGAACCAACGTTTTGAGGCCTACGGTAGTAGCTGACAGCTTAAGATACGTGAGGCTTTTTAATGATCATGCTTTTTACTTCTGGATTCATAATTTCGGCGTTCCTATTGCCTGATGCCGCAGTCTGGTTTACTGTGGAGCGATAATAAAAGGCTCTGAGCTGTTTCTTAAGATGTCGGTCACCAGCTCTTCTTCTAAGGAGTACCATTCATTTTATTTTCTTTATAAATTCACTGACAATAACAAATAACATATTTCTTTACTCCGCCGCAGGTGGTGATCCATCTAACCTTGGCGAAATCGATGGAATCAGCCAGCTGGATACTCTGAGGCACCGGGAAAAGCTCCCAAGAACGGAGATCGTGCTCAACATTGATCCTATAGAAAATGTTTCGGCCATAATTGTATATCCCTTCAAACTTATGCAGGGGGACGATCAAGGCGGCCACTATGACGATTGGTATCCTTTTATGGGGAACGTTACCCGAACCCAGAAAGATGCTCGCGAGGGGTGCGAAGCGTCCGTTGTCTACCGCGTGATGAAGCACTCTGGTTTCGTCGTCACTTGTGGCCAGGATCCGGTCACCTACGCGACTTCCGTGAAATGTGGGGAAAAAGATCCGACCAAAGCCTGCAAACCAATTGTAAAACCGTGCCTGTTCGACCTGTCTAAGGACCCCTGCGAGTACAACGACATCGCGGCCGAAAACATCGAGGTATTTTGTATTCTTTCTAAATTTAAGTAGTCCTTATTCACGGCTGGGTCAACTCATTAGGCTTGAAGGTCGTATGCAGTTACAGAGAACGTGTTCGGGGGCTAGAGGCTTCTTTAGACTTTAATCCGCTACAGACACGGTGCTACATCCTAGAACTTGATTTAAAAAGCTGGCTTCGATGGCATCTCCGCATAAAAACTACATCTCGGGCATTTCAGTTTGGAAGTCCTTAAATTTTAAACTGATAGACAATAAACGAGCGCTCATTGGTACATCAAGATAAGACGCAGACGAGCTGGTGACGGTAGGGCCCCTACATAAACTACGATTCGGAGTGGGCTAGAGCACTTTGAAGCGTATAGTTTCAGAGTGCGAAGAGGAATCGATGGCCGAGTGGTCTCACCATCTCGGGGCACGTGCAGGGAAAGCTCGCGTTGCAGCACGCAGGTCATAGCCCACGCATTCTAGGCTGAATCCACACCACTGTCCGTCTCGATGTAGATGAGCATCGTACCGACGTGCGGTCAAGTATTGATACTGAATGGTGCACGTTAAAGACCCCAGGCTAGCGGTTGTACTGCACTGGCCACATTTCTCGTCTCCAGCTGAGACACAAGAAGCCCATTAACTTCAGGCTGTATGAACAGAATATTATTAATGCGAAAGCATTATATGCCCCATTGGTGAAAATCCGACGTCGTTGGCGGCATGATGGTACCAAAAATGGCCAACGACGCAAAAAGCAAAAACACGTCAAAAATGCTCTGATTAACGTCACATTTCTCAGGGAGGTTCGTGTAAGCAAAGTAAATGAATGGTTTTGAAAAGAAGACTTGGTACATTTTGCCGTGGGTGGGAATCAAACCCGGGCGTCCGGGGTGCGAGACGAACACGCTTGCCCGACGCAACGGCGGCTCCACGGTTCAGGTTGACTAAAGGTGTGCCTAGCGCGTGCATAATTGCATAAGTCGCGTCGTAGCCATCTGGCTGACTAAAGTAAAAGGGATGCGAGCGATTTGGCGAGGGACGGAACAAGCGACGGCGACTCGCTTCGCTGTTGCTCGGTCAGTCGCGCGACGAGGCAAATCGCACAAAAGCGAAAGGAGCAACCAACCGCCCGAGGCGATCAGCGTCGTTTTCTAGAAATCCAAAAATCGAGCGACGCGACGGGCGACAGTGAGAAATCTCCGCCTCTCGACGCTGACTCTCGTCGTTGTCGCCGTCGCTCGTATCGTTGCTAGCTAAATCGCATACATGCGGTTCGGCCTTAAAGGTAAGGCCTAGAGCGTGCGTCATTGGGCACGTGACGACGCAGCCAATGAGGTGGCGCCAAATCATCAGTGTATAAAATGAGCACGCTGCCTCCCGCGCGTCACACACCGAATCAGCAGAAAGAACTTTATAAAATGCATGTTGAAAACGTTCCAGCAAACCAAAGGGACTGTAATGCTTTCGTATTCCCACACGTAAGCTGTCATCTTCCGAATTGTTTAGTGGTACCTTAAGTATGAAAACATCCTAAAACTCCCTAACTTGCTACAATGGAATAGTAGTGGGTAGTTTTAGTAAGAGTAGACGCTTTTCCTGCGTTGTTCGATACAATGTTTTACAATATTTTAACGGTATTGATATATTTCTTTTTTAATAGTCATAGAAATTATTATTCAGATTTCTGCAGCTGTTATTATACCTAATATACAATTAACTTTCTATATTCGTTTCGATGGACACTTGTTAGTACGTCACGACGTGTTATAGACAAAAATTTAGAGAGGAAGACACGCCTAGGATAGTAGAACCCAGCCTATTTTTTTTTTATTAAATATTTGTGCCGGCCAGTTTAAAGAACTTCTTCATACATGAAATGCGTTTTTTTTTTTTTTTTTTTTTTTTTGTAATACCAGTTTTTTTAGTGGACATTAAAACATCGTCCCCGACCTTAGTCATGAATCTACAAGAACAATAAAGAAAATTAAAGCTTGCCGCAACTCAACCCCGAGATTACAGGAAGTAAAAACGATGCAAGAACACACGCAAACAGTGTAGTGTTTCCTACAGTCTCGGGATTGAGTTAATCTAGTAACCTCCACCAGCTCGAATGCACCCCTACTTTGTGTTCATAAAACCCTGTTGTTGTTTTTTAGGCCCACATAAATAAACAACGCATTGCAGAAACATGAAACTCCGCATGATTATGACGCTTGCGGTGATGATGCAATGCAAAAGTTTGACAAATTAGCATTACCTGGTTTAAAAAAAATAAAAAAAACTGTTTTTCTATGAGCCGAGGATTACCTAGACATAATATTTGTCAAATTAAAAAGTGGCATATTGGGAACTTGTGGCATTCATTTTGGTGAGATAAAAAAGGCTCGTCTGCAAGAAAGGAAAACATATTGCAGGAGCGGCGAAGATCAATCAAACTTGTATAGTCATTAAGAGCTTAAGAAGTCCAGGGTGTGACTTTTCATGCGTTCCCGATTCTTGCTTCGGAAGTAGTTCTCCGGCCCTCTTATGGGCTGATGCCACAAACTCTTTGTTCTAGGAGCGATACGTTGTCAGCCACCATAGCTTGCCTAGTGCCCAGAATCCGGCGTCTTTGCCCCATGCACAATATTAGCACGAAATGAGCTAAAACTCTGATATGTAGATTGTGAACAACAAAGTTTCTCTTCTTTTTTTTTTTTTTTTCAGGTGTTTGAGTTGCTTAAGGCAAAACTGAGGAAGTACACTGCCTCGTCAACGCCCCCTGCCAACGTTCCCGCCGACCCACGGGGGGACCCGGCGCTGCACAACAATGATTTTGTTCCGTGGGGCGACGCTGAAGGGAACGACTAAAGATACCCTTTTTTTTCTTTTGTATTCACGTGGCTTTTAGAAAGACGCCAACTTTTACAGCAATAAAGCGAGATTTTAGAGATTCATAAGGTGATGCCTATAATTACTGAGAGGGTGCGAACGGCAGGGAGGTCTCTCAAAAGTCCAGAATCGCTTTCCACCTTTGGCGACACTCCTCGCGAGCTTCGAGAGTGCACGTGCACGAAATGCACCGCGGGGGGAGGGGGGGGGGGGGGCGCTTGCTGGAAGCTGGGCGTCCAGAAACGCGCCTGTTCCCATTATGTCGTTGAACCCACCGACAGGGTGAGAACAGCAGGTAGTCGCTCTCTTGAAAGCCCGGCCCCCAACAACGCGCTCGTTGCCTTCTACCGTGCTTTCTGGAGGATCACGATGCGCAGAAATGTTAGCGAGTTGCAAAGCTCGCGCTAGAAGCGGAACAACGGAAGGACTTCTCCGCCATTTTCCTTCTGTCCGTAACCATGTGGCGAGCAGGTTCGTTTGCTTTCTTGTGGAGCTAGTATGCGGTGACGCCGCAGTGCCAAGCTCCGAATAAAGGCCCGTTCACACTCTTGCGACTGAGTTGGACCGAGAGAGACCAGCTCCGCTGCATCGCATCCGGTCTTAAGAAGTCGCAAAAGGCTTAAAAACCGGACTGGTCTCTCGCGGTCGAAGTCGGTCGCAAGAGTGTGAACGGGCCTTTAAAGGACAGTACACAAGGGTTAGCTGACTTTGTTTCTCTGCCCAATGTATCCCTCCCATCAGAGCGAGCAAGAGCATCCTCTGATCCTCGCGGGAGAGAGCAGTGGTGTCAGGGCACGGTGTAAGCTACTTTAGGTATGGTGCCATGAAGCGCGTCTCCGACCGGTGTGTTTAGCGTCCTACCCTGCCCTATACATCAAAGGTTAGTCCCGAAGTGGATACAAATGACGTCACAGAAGCCGTAGTGTCATGATGCAGCGCCGTATATTGGGAGAGATTGGCCAATAGTCGGAGCAAAGGCCGCCGCCAGCGCCAAATACTCCCCCCGCATTTAAAGCGTAAACTAATCATGCGACAACACGTCGACCAATCAGGAAACCGCGAAGTCACAATATTGCAAACCACATTTAAATCGTGAAATAGAATCGTTTAATCTCGGAGTCTCGTTTACAATGGCGTCAATATCAAATCAGCAGCAATGATCGTTGGGTGACCAAGGCGTGGACACGTTGACTGTGGCTACCAAGGATGTATTCAAATCGTGCCAATAATCGAGGCAGTAGTCCCGCTTCCGCGCTTCTTTCTGGACTAAATTATGACTAGTAAGTGAGCTCCAATCTGATCGGAGAGAGACGTCGGGATCTCCGCTAATACAGAACGGCTCTACGCTGACACCCGGTTTCGCAGAGCGCAGTGAAAAGAAACCTGCGACTGTCAGAATCCACAAGTCGTAGGTGTCTTGCCATTCCACGAGCGCGAGCACCCCGCTTTTGTTCCCTGCTCCGCCGTTGGAGTGTCCGTACTGGGGAAGAATCTTCCGAAGCTACCAGCTCGCGCTTGTAGGCTCTGCAGTTAGCTCATGTTTGGTCGAAGTAAACATACCACTTCCACGTGTTGCGTAGTTCTCTTGCTTGACAAAGCGGCAAGCGAAGGAACAGCGAGCTAGGAACCATGAGAACTGCTTGGCTTGTGTGTGTTGGGCACAAGGAGAGTCTACCACGGAACTTGTTGACGCACTGATGAGTGGTTCCAGAAAAGGAGCGACACAAAGAGTCGGGTTATAGTCGGGCTCCGCACCGGAACCACTCAGTTTGCTCTGGTTTGGAACGCATGTTCGTTTATTCTACCGTTGAATATGGACGTGGCGACAACCTCAAATGCGCCAAGTTTTCAGTCACCGAGAGTTATACCTTTTCACTCTAGAGACGCTACAACGGCTTAAATTAGTCGTGTCCCATATTTAGACCTCACGACCACCGCTAGGGGCTATTTCGCAGCTTGTGGTTGGCCCCGAGATGCTCGCCTATTCAAACCAATGTATGGTCGAACTCTCCCAATAAACGGCCCTGTCATAATGTAGCCTGTCGCGATCCTGGCGGTTGGTCGTACAAATGCTGGCGAAAAGCCCACGCGAACGCGAGTGTCGCTGCCGTCACGGCGACCCAGGCGTCCCAACTCCCTGCTGTCGTAGCTTCCGTGGACTGTCGCAGTGAAGAGCGACCTGCAGCAGAACAGGCGCCTGCCACGCACACCACAGCTGCTGGGACAATGCCAGGATCGCGACCGGCGACGGCATGACACTTCCATGACGTCATCAGGCGGAAATTGAGGGACCATATTTTGGACTTTGTAAACAAGCACCACCTAAACAGCTGCGAAGCCTGCGCATTACGCACATGACGTCATGTCCGGGGGTCCCGCACGGGCGCCGATTTTACAAAGTTACAAAGCGCATCTGGTCAAACAAATAAAGACCTGTTGACACAAGTTCATAAAGTAGGACCTAGCGTTAGACCTCAGTCAAACTGTCCGAGGTACTTCAGCGCCTTAATTTATTTGGCCAATTTTACGGAAGACGAATGTCAGACTTCATTTGACGGCCCCGTCACTTATATCATATCTTGTGTACGCCGTAAGCAAATGTTAATATAAAAAAATAGTTTATATCTTAGGGCCAATATTGTGAAATGCTGCGTATGAATACTTTAGCAGGGCTGTTATTTAAAAAAGTGGCCACTTAGCCCAGGCCGCACTGTCGAAATATTCCTAGAGAACTTTGTTTTAAAATAAAACAGGCCGAGACAATGTAAGTTATCTTCGTCATTGTACGATACTCTTTTAGTCTGCGTAATTCACTAAAAGCTGGGTGTCCACGAAAACAAAACAATCAGTACTAAAATCGTGAGTCCATCTGTTCTTCCCGATTCAGCACATTGCGTATCTAGGTGTCGACCGGCTTCTTCACATTCAGTTTCTTTATTGGTATATTTTCCTGAAGACTAGAGTCATCGGGTACGGCCGCAGACGACGGTAATTTCACCTGTTCAGTCGTTTTGCCGCCTACCATAATCCGATGCATCAAAGATGTTCGTAATAAAGCCAGCAATTTTTCCTCGAAACCATATCGTAATCTTCAGAGTGGCTCAGTACCACTGTTTCATTGGTTGTGTGCTACAAGGTAAATATTTGTATCGCAAAATTAAGCAAAAACTACATAAAAAAGCAACACAGCCGTGCGCACGCTGAGACAAGCACCAACCAAGTTGAAGCCACCTAATTGCGGAGAGGGCGCCAGATCACTCTATACGCCGGTCAGGCAACTACTGAGAAAAAAAGTCTATACCTTTATGAAATGAGTCGATTTAGTGGTTTTTCAAAGACGCTTAGCTATTTTTTTTATTCGAACCATATGTTTATTTTCACTAATTAGAGAGTTAATTAGTAAGTTTTAGTTAAATATGTAGCTATTTGGTATATTTTTGGAATCCCCGATGTCCACCAGTTTGTCTCCGTAAAGGGTTGGTTTTTTCTTCTTACCCACCCTATTTCTAGGGATTATTGAGACTTCGCTGAGACTTCGATAACATCTTGTACCGTGCCTCAGCCTTCTAAGCACGCGACGCCGTGTCTAGAGTCGCCACGTCTTCCTTTTGTACCCTTTTTTTTTTTCTCGATGTTTTCGCAATTACCGCATTTTTTTTTTTTTTTTTCGAGCCGTCTCAAAGTCTTCGTTTTTTCCTCTTTTTTTAACGGTTATGTTGCGTGTTTGGCGGAGCTCGCGGCACAACTGTTTGGCAGGCGGCCAACTAGGTCAACTTTCTGCGACCTTGGCACCCTTCAGTTTTCAAGGCTAAATCAAAGTTAGCCTCAGTAAGAATGCACTAAACCTCCGGACATCTCTTGAAAATCAAGGACCTGTTTCAAACATTGCAAAACTGCTGAAGAGGGCGACTCGGGAGCCAGCAATATTGACCACGAAAGGGGAACACAAAACACAGAGATGGCGTTGCAGATGAAGGGTATAGACGTTTTACAGCAGCTGTGCATGGGCGCCGCTACAACAGACCTTCAGTTTTTGTTCCCTCTGATTCCGTTCGCTTCACTTCATCATTACCACAACAGGACATGTTATTGCCATTTTAGATGCTATTGTGTTCTTGTGCCCAGCATAGGCCCTTGTGAAGACCCATCAACGTCTGCTTCAGTGGCTCGGCATCTCGGTAAGACAAGAGAAGGGCGGCAATGGCGGCTCAATCTGGCGCGTGTGTAAAGCGTCTATAGCTCTCATGCATGCAGCAGCCAAATAACAAGCAACATAGTATGAAAGAGTTGATCTAGTGAATAAATAAATTAATGAGCAATTTATATTTTTCTGCAAAAAGTATGGTAGCAAGAGCTAAGAGAGAAAAACAACCGCTCCTTAATGTTGCTCCAGCTCCAAGGTTGCACTTGTCGACATAAAGTGGCTGCTGAATGCGTTGTATATAACTTTCCTTGTACAATCATTTGTAAAAAAGGGTTATGATTTCTTAGTGTACGCAAACGAACAGTTAAAATGACACTAAAACAATATTGTAAATTATGAATCAAATACAAAACTACTTTTAAGGAGCCAATAAAAAAAATAATGCTCACATGGGTTGTTGCTTAATTTAGAATGGGAATTTATGGCTGAGATTTACATGTTGATCTAACTTGTCTTGTATAGATGGCAATGTCTACCTAATGATTGTGAGACCATAGTTCATGTGAGAGGTGGGTAAGTACATATGCCACTGTTCACCAAGGGCCCCAGACGTTTAGGAATCACATCTGTCACTGTTTCGATGCACACACGTTCAACGTTAATTCATTCATACATACTACTTCAGATGTGCATCAAAGAGGCGTATTTTAACTTCATGTTGATCACTTCCCGATTTACGTTTTGTCTATACCTCAAACTGGCATCTTTTTGACTATTTTCTGATTCATGAAGAGATGTTGGCCAGCTTCTAGAGACACGTCGCTTTAATTTCTTTGCTCGCACCATCTTCTTCTTCTTTTTTTTTCTTTTTTTTTTTTGTCTTTGCTTTTTTTTATTATAAAATGTGACGGACAAAAAAAAAAAGTAAAAATGTCGTTTTAGGTTGGACGTATTGCTTGTTCTCGAAGCGGTTAAGCCCCCTAGTTTTTGCAACGTCCTAGGTGCTCGGTGAACACATCATGGTTGGACTTGGTTATGGCCAAGCGGTAACTAATAAAAAAAAAAAAGCATATCATCTCTTCGAATCTGGCACGGAAACGTCATCCCATGACACCCAGACGTTATTGTGCAAGCTTGGATTCGATCGTGGGTCACCGGGAAGATTCTCTGGTTTCACAGCTGTGGCCTCATAGCGAGCCAATTTCTCTAGGAGTTGTTCCACAACCTGCAAAATAAAGAGAGAGAAAAAAAAAACATCATTTAGTTGTTTCTGTAATATATATTGCGGACACAAAGACAGCATATTCGTTGACTCTCTTTTGTCTTGTCTTTGTGCCTCCCGATCCTACGTTAAGCACAGAGTTCTATAGCGAACTTCTCATACTGCAGTGCTCAACGCTTTCTGAGACTGGCCTTTTTAATGCCGAGAATAGAAGGCGTGTGTACTTACGCACTATATGCTAATGAGCACGGTGTAAAGGCTTTCTAAACTATAAAAACCGAAATGTCACTTTCTCCTCCACTGAGTGTTTCTATTTCCTTATTAAAAAAAAAAAAAAGAAACAACGTTGACAACTTTCTTAAAGTGAATAATGTGCTCCTAGTGCAAAAATGCCAAGAACCTACATCTGGAAGTTGCCCAATCATTTACAGGTCACTCCAGAGATTAAGCCAATCAACCTTCCCTTGTCTCTTATTTCTCCATCTAAAACACAAATGAATAAAGAAGTTTAAACTTGTTATTATTCTGATAAACCCGGGAAGCAGAGAGAATGTCTGTCGCACCGTGGGATATGATTTGTTACGCTTGGTTACGGGGATTCCGGGTGGCACCGAAAGCGCTGCACGAACACCACACGCATGTGCTCCCCGCGTTTATGGGAATAATCAAGACACGTTGGACTTTATTCGGGAGTGGAGCCAGCAGCGCGCACAGACGGCCGCATTCTACCGCGAGCCCCCTTATTAAGTTACACTTTGTCTACCTGCTTCCGCTCCCCTTCACCTTCTCCTTGTGGCGACAAATAGAGGCGTCCGGCTGCAAATCACACGGTCCGAGGACCAAGTCCCGCTGCGTCGATCGGTAAATCTCGCTAATTACAATGAAATAGGCTTACTTATGATTAGCTATCATTAAGTACTACTGAGTATGCCTTTGATATTTATTCTATTCATTGATTGATACCTCGAAGCAGACTTGGACGTAGTTCAACTACTCTACTCAAACTACTGTAGTTTAGCTACTTTTTCGAGTAACTTGGTAACTTTCAATTCCAACTTGATTGGGGTAATTAGTAGTTTAATTTAACTACTTTTTTCAGGTAACTTCTACTCAAATTACTAACTACTTTCAAAATTATATAGTGCTAATTTTGCCCATCACGAAAGTTTGAGCGCAGAAGTGAATAAGACGCCGGCAGATGAAATGGCATTCCCGAACAAGGGGCCCCCTCGTTCGGAAATGCGCCCTTGGGCCAAGGTGGCGACGAGCAGCCAAAACATAACACCGGCACGCACGAACGCAGGAAGAGATGCTTAACAAGCCTTGGTCGGGTATTGACCTAATCTGGTAATGCCCGCAGGCGCCGCGTTTCCAGCTGCAACCGTGAAAGACGGGGACACTCTGAGAGTTGTAGTTGTTTTCGTGCTGTCTGTCTTTAGTGAGTTCCCACTGGAATGACGTCGCAGCCGGGCGCCTGCTCCCATGGTCGCCTTGTCGTCAGCGCATACGCCTTTGCAAAGCCGGACTCCCCCGCGCACAAACCCTGGCACGGATAATCCGTTCATGGGATCACGTTCCCTCTTCCAGCTGCAACTGTATACGAGCGACGATGCTTGTTCACGTAATCCTTCGCGTCCTTCCGACCATCCATGCCTGGGAGACCTCCTTTTTGTTAAAAACGATTTACTTGTCACGCGTGTCAAACGCGTCAGAATATTGTAGTCGCCGGCGAGGATTGCGAGCTACCCTTGGGAGATCCTTTTGTTGGACCCGGCATCAGCGGCGAAGTATACTTCGGTTCATTATTTGTTAAACCAAAACAATTTTTTTTTTTTTTTTTTAGTAGCGTAGCACTAGCACTACAACGGGACCCGCAGTCGTCCGGATGATCTCATCGTCGTGGCGCGAGACTTGAACCCTTGACGGTCTGGTGCACCCGCTCAGCGTACTCTCAGAGCGACGTCGGAATAAAGAGGGGCCAGTCATAACAATCTCAACTTGACGAAGAAAATAAAAAAAAAGGAGGAAAGTTTGTTATAAAAGACCTTCCTTCCCGAGGCAAACCTCACACGTTTCGTCATGGATACCTAAGATGCCGACACTCGCTTACCCGACCCTGCACAGACTGTTTCTCAAATTCAACGCTGCCGTTCAATCCAGCCCGTCGGTGGAACGTCTATTTAGCTTGGCTGGGGACGTCTTTAGAAGGAAACGGGAAAAACTTTCCTATCAATAACTTTCAAGTCAATAGCTTCTGCGAGCGAATAAACTATTTTGGCGAAAACGCAAGCCATAAATAGACTGCATTTATTTTAGGCTCGCAGGGTTTTTCATTGATCAAAACTGCTGTTCATTTTGTTACCACAAAAATATAAAAAAGTATCTTCGAAAGTAACTTCAAAGTAACTCGCTACTTTTTACAGTAGTTAGTAGTTTACTCAATTACTATTACAAATGCGTAATTTCTACTCTACTCCAATTACTTTTGGCGTCGATACTCAGTAACTTAACTACCTTTTTTGAGTAACTTGTACATGTCTGCCTCGAAGACCCTACAATAAAGCATTACACAACGGATAGGCTGCTGATAATTGCGATAGTAAAACTAAGTAAAGGGTGCACTCAAGAACAACAAAAGTTATACACTCAAGAATAATATACACATACAAAGAAACGAACAAAACTTATACATACTCCAAATAAACTAGAAACTCGTTATCATTTCATTAGTATTAGAACCACACAGATTCCAAATATTCGCTTAGCAGCTCTCTGAAAGTATCAATATTGTTAGCAGCGACTATGTGGTCGGACACAGAGCTCCGTTCTGCTGTTGTCAAAGGGGTATTGAACCAATCATTTTAGTGTCTATAATAACTTAAGTGGCGCACTATCTTTTAACCAGCCAGCAGTCGCCGGTGCGCGCGACTACACGCAACGAAAGTGACGCTTAAAGATGACAGGGAAACGATAGAGCTCCGGGCAAAAGGAGAGTAAAGACAGGCTTTTCATATCCACAGGTGGAATCTCTATGCTTGTTAGACCAATTAATCGCCTACCTTTTACACCCGGCCCCACTGTGGAGATGAAAAGCCCGTCTTTATTCTCATTTGACAATGACGCTTTTCGCATGATAATCATTACCATGTCGTGCCTTGCCTATTCTGGCCGAGATGAAACTACCTCGTAGAAACTTCTCACCTCTGGATTTTGGCCAGCGACATCGTTGTACTCGCAGGGGTCCTTCGACAGATCGAAGAGGCAAGGTGACTTTTCCGACGCACACGCCTTGCTGGGGTCCCTCTCGCCGCATTCAACGGAGTCCGCGTACCGCGCGCCGCCCGCACCGCACACGGGACTCAGACCAAAGTCCCTCAAGACCCGGACGACCACGGAGCTCTCGCACTGCTTTAGAGGCTTGTCCGAATCCCACGGAACATTCCCGGGGATAGGATACCACTTGTCGGAACCACCACCGAATGCAGTACCTTTGACCAGCTTGAAATCGCCTTCAATTATCCCAGAGTAATTGTCCACGGGGTCGATGTTGATGAGGAGTTCGTGCCTTGGGTGTTTGGTTCCACGGGTGAGTGAATCGAGGTGGCTAAAGCCGTCGATGTCTCCGGCCATCTCAGTGGGAAGGCCGCCTGGAGTGAACGAAGTGCGGAGTAAATTAGCGGGGTTGAATAAATGCATCTAATCAACAATCCGTAAGCATCGCTGCATTTCTTTCCTCAGGTCCACCAACCATCTACATATCTCAAGCTTCCCAGCAAAGCAACGACAATAGTAACAAAACGAAAAACAAACATTCATCTTCAAAATTATTTTTGGTATATAACGAATAGAATCCAGAGATGGTGGACATGAACAAGACTGCGCACGCACAAGAGATCTTAAGGCCGGTTCAGACATTTGCGTTTGAGTGCGTTTGACTGCGTTGCGTCGAGAACCGAAAGCGAGCCACCGGCACATCTGTGCTTCGTATGAAGCGTGGAATCCAATTCAAGGAATCATCTTGGCACGCGACATAAGCAGCAGGGATGTCCTGGTTTCTCGCTGCCGCAACGCAGTCAAACGCAGTCAAACGCAACTGTCTGAACCGGGCTTTAAACATAGCTCAAGTTCACTCCGTTTAAAGAATGCTGAAATTTGTTGCTAAAGTGCACACGCTCATTTTTCTTGTGGAAGAAACTTAAGCTGGGTATCAGACCTTGTGTTTGAGTGTTGACCTGCTTAGGGTCCCAGAGTCTGGGTTATGTTCTGTTTAAACAACACCAGCAAGTTTGAACCCGGAAATTTTTTTTGTTGTTGTAAATTTATTTCAGAATATACATATAGGTATGCGTGCAACGCATACGCTGATTTGCCGGTGCTCGAATACTTGATACGATTTATTTTAAGAAGAATCTATTTATTGTAAATTTAAAGCAGTTGTAACTAACAGTAACCACGATTTCAAACAAATGCGATACCCCGAATGTTCTGAGCAATCGACAGGCTTTCAAAAATCGGATTGTTCCAAAGAGCAGCAATAGAGCGGACACTGACCGCTTTAAGTGCGCCACTAAGGAGGCGTTAAGCTGTTAGTGGGTCACTCAAAATAAAAATAAATAAAAATTTCTTAGCCTATCAGCTGCTATTACTTCTGCAGCATGATGCTTGATCACCACGTTGAAAGCAGAGTATCACGGTGAGTACAAGCGCGCTCACAGAAGTATTACCTTCCGAATAGGCATGGCGTGGAGCACGGTTATACTGATAAGTGTTGACTCTTTAGGAAAACTAGAAGTATTCCCTTATTCTGGGCACGGCAAATATGCTTGAAACAATATCGCGTTTCATTCTGAAGTTTCCGGGTCGTATGCCTTCCAATTTTAAAGGCTCGAATAATTATAGACTGCGCATCACCAATATAATCAACCGTGGCGTATGTCGATGGTACCGCAGAATAATTGTATTTTTGCATAAAGCGCAAATACTCTTTTTTTTTTTTGAATTCGGCACAAAATGAATCGCAGTGTTTGTTTTATATTAATGACACAAATATCTCCAGTATGTGAATAGTGATAATATGAGGAAAAACGCAATAAACGCGACAGAAGTGTCTCGCCTACCGCGTGTTATTGTGGTAGCAGATTAGTATCGTGTCGTTTCCTATATTTTTCTTAAGCGGGTGTTCATTTTGTTCATACCATTTGCCATTTGAATTCCACATTATATAACCCATAATCCAAAGTAAAATAAAGTGACCTGTGCACATTGTTGGAACTAACGCGTTACAAGTAATGACGTTACTTGCAACCAGTAAAGTGATTTCGTTATTATATTATCAGATTACGCCGTTGCTTGTTACTGTTGATTAAAATTAGTCAAATTTTTGTACCTTTTAAGAGTCACGCGCCATCAGAATCCCGCTGCATTTTAAAATTATAATAAGAAAGAAAAACAAATATTAGGAAATCATTTTGTAACAGTTTAGTTGTTTTTCTTTTTTCTTTGTCAGAGCTCGTATCCGCGGCTTATCGCTGCAAAATAATAATAAAGAAGTTTACAGCAAAGTGAAACAAACGCAAAAGTAATATTCGTTAGTTTTAGGAAGTTACGCGTTAGGATTTGACGAACTAACGAGTAACCTTATTTTGTTACTTATTTTCCGTAACGGGTACAACAGCGCCCGTGCGTCGCTCACCGGCCAGTTGGTACAGCGTCGGTAGCCAGTCGGAGATGTGGAACAGGTTGCTATAGACGGATCCCAGTAGGCGAGAAAAACGCGGGCTCCAGATGACGGCGGGGGCGTGGACTCCGCCCTCCCAGGGCGTGTACTTCTGGCCCTTCAGGGGCCACGAGGAGGCGAAGTTGGCGTTCTCGCTCTCGGTGTCCCCGCCGTTGTCCGAAGTGAACACGAAGACCGTATTGCTCAGCATGTTCCGACGATTCAGAGCCTGGAACACGGCGCCCACGGATTCGTCGAGTGCCGACACCATGCCTGGAGGAAAAAGCACGCGGGCTGCACGAAATATGAAATTGACTAAATGGACCTTGCGTATCTAATGGACGCTGCGTTTTATAATATCTTCTTTCTTCTTTTTTTCTTGTTTTTTATGGGAGTGCGTAAACATTTCTGTGTTATATTTGTCTGTTATATGTCTGTGCATGCGAATGGTGGCCTTTTGATGGCTGGTGAAGGAAGAATATGAAGACAGAAACGGATGCGGAGCTGGTGCATCCAGACGTTAGTTGGCTCGTTCTAAGTCACCGTGACGACACTTCTAAACTTCTATGTGCTACGCATGTGAGGAGGCCATATGGAAGTCCTCGGAATGCTCGACTTCGGCACGCCCCAGACAGCTCCTGACAATGAAATGTTAATTTTATCGAGAGATTCACTCAACTATAAGCGTCTCGTGCTGAATGGTAGTTTCTTGGCACCCTCGAAACTGAAGAAAATGGGGAGATAACCGTTCATTAAAAAAACGCTGTAACTTTCGTACGTCTTCCGTCGACGAATAGGTACCGGATTTTATCCACCACGTGCATACAACAATTTGGACCGATATTTCAGCCACTAAATGGCACGAAATTTCTGAAACGGTCTGTCGAAGCCATACTCCGTCTCCGAGTACAGCCGGAGTCAGCGATCTCGTGAAGCTTATCAAGCCTCGCCAAAAGTGTGTTGTCACGGTGATCGTTGTTTTTACGCGTTTTTTATCACCGGCTGGCTCGACCAATCGTGCGCAGGAAAAAGCGCATGATCACGCCGCATCTCCCGTGAGTGACTTTGCTAGTGATAGCAAACACACAATGACAACCAGTGCCGCAACGGGCGACTTGTCTCTCCGCGGTAGATAAGAAATTTAGCCAGTGCAGTACAGCCACTAGCCTGGGGCTTTTAACGTGCACCACGCAGTGGCAATACGCGACCGCATACCGGTGCGATATGCTCATCCAGATCGAAATGGGCACGGGGTGGGGATTGAACCCGTGGGATGTTTGGGTTTTGCAGGGTGACCTTTCGCTCCAAGCGCTCCTAGCTGCGGCGTTAACACATTCGGCTTACCGATCGCCTCAAAAAAGAAAAGCAATGGAGTCGCCCCTCGGTACGAATGATCAGGCCGCAATAAAATGGTCGGGAGTGGATGAAACAAGTCGTCGTGGCGAGACGCATGGCGACAAGGTTTATGAAAGATGGATTAATGAGTAAATTTTTCGGCGCCGTGATAAATCTTGCGATTCGGCACAATCGTTTAATTCCTTAAAACTAAAAGATCGTAAGGGACCTCATAAGAAATAAAAAGTGAACAGCAACGTTTCACGGGAAAATGAACCCAAAAGTAAGAAGCATATTCAATTTTGCGATGGATCAACGCGATTTAAGTACGCGGGCGCATACTTGAGGTTGCGCTGATGAAGCCCAGTGCGTAAATCAGTTGGCGGAGGCAAAAATCAAATTAGCGGCACATTTTTTTTTTTTTTTTTTAATCTCTACTCTTTACAAGCTTTGATGCAGATGACGGGAAACTGTGCAAAAATAACCTACCAGCGTAAAGTGTTCTGTTCCAGTCTCCAATGTCGCGGTACTGCTCGATGTATTCCTTGGGAACTTGCAGGCGTTCTTTCCGATCAGCTGAGTGCGGTGCTTGGTGGGCCAAGTATAAGAATAAGGGCTGTCAACGACAACACGATCAAAAGGTCTTTGTTCGTCCTTTTGCTTTTGAACAATACCATAGCATCCTGCGTACGGCATGTCAAAAGGGATTTTTAGTAGACCGTTTCCGCAGCCCGCTAAGCACCCGGATAGCGCTCCGTAATCCGCCACGAGACATTGAACTATGCAGAGAAGGCTGGCGGCGCGCATGCGCAGCTGCGGCGTTTTCTTTATGGATATCGTAGCGGAGGAGATAAACGATCTACTAAAACTCCCTAATAAAAGTGCCTCACAGAGCATTCTAAACGTTTGGCATAAAAGATCCCCAGAAGCTCAATTTTACAGTCCCGACCCCTTTTTCTCCCTTCCTATCTTCCTCCTTTACTGATTGCTTTAAAAATTTCTCGAGACACAATAATAGTAGTGTTCAGCTCGATTGACCTGGCCTGTCGCAAAAATTATTAAGGAGCGCATGTTCTCATTACCCTAAGTTAGCGGTCAAACGTCTTCTCGACATTAAAAAAAAAAAAAAAAAATCAGCGTGTATAACATAACGTGTATCTTTCTTTCTTTTTTTCAAATAATGACCGTCTGGAAGTTTGCGCCTCTGTGTGCTTTGCATCAAACTTGTTGTGCTTCCCAGTCGGAATCCACAAAACTAACATTTCAGCCATTACCTTTTTCTTTTCTGTTTTTTTTTTTTGTTTGTTTATATTTTTTTTTGGTAAACAATTGGCTATAAAATAGTTCTTTGTAAAGTAAATTAAATACTATGGACTTCAATACGTCCCCACTTTGAAGCACTTTACTTCAACATGACTACAAACTGAGTATTGTTGCTGCAGAGGATAATGTGTAAGCGACCGGCCGGGCCTAGGATTCAAGTATCTGATTTAACGAGATATAAGATTATAGGTTCTGCTAGAAAATATGGCTGTCAGTCAAAATCTGTCTTGCCCGCTTGTGCCTGAGTTTTCCCTTCTGAAGCTGATACCATAACCTGGGTTTTATCATTTGCAGGATACTTTCCCAGCTGTACTGCCGGGTTGGGATTTTGTCTATCTCCCTTCATTGTAAATGGCTACAGTGACTAAAACAACAAACAAAGTTTTTACGGTCACTCGTGAGGTTTAGACGCACCTTGTCGACGGGGTGGTTTTCGATTATGGCGTTCGCCTCTCTTGTCAGGAGCTGGGTGACGTACGTTCCAGACTCATTCGGTGATATGGAAAGGTTTCGCCGGAAATCCAGACCTGCATTTCTCTCTGGCTGTAGAAACAATGGCGTTTGCTTAAAATAAATAAAACAGCACAAGAAAAAAACGGAACAGGTAGTAAACACACATAACTGCTGACTTAAAAATGAAGAGACAAAGAAATCTACTTTTCCTCGTGTCCTTTTTGCGATGTTTTGTTTACTCTGATCGCGCACCTACTCACCCAACACGCCTTACTAAAGTTCGCTTAGGCAGGAAGAACACTTCCTTTATGCATTGATTATTTTATGGCTACTTTGACGTAAAAACAATCGTCGGGTAAAATTCGGCGCTTTCACAAATGACCCGAAAGGATCGGGTGCATAGTCATAGTAACAGGAAGTTACAATACACTCGAAACTGATCATCAAATAATACTCCAGAATCAGTTAAAGATAACTCAAGCCTATTCAGCATATTTAAGTAGAATATATAGTATTAGCAGTTTTTTACTATTATTATTTCACTGAGACAGCTTTTTAGTAAGTCGGACGATTCGCTCCAATTTTGTCTAATTCGAAGGATTATGAGAAAGTGCACATCTTAAGATCGTTGCACATTTCTTTCGACATTAATGTCAAATTTACAATAATTCGACATATAAGAGAACGTAGCTATCGCACCAGTCCTGAAGGAATACATAGGGAGTTGTTACCTACCCCATTATACGTTTTCTGGTGAGTGAAATAGTCGACGTAGGCGCCCCAACAACCGAAGTGGTGGTGAAATCCACGCTTTGTCGGTGTGTATTCAGTCTTGTGGAAGCCCAGATGCCACTGAAATGAGTCGGGTGCAAGTCTGTTAGTGTGGCGTGCACGTCAGACGGCCTTTTACAAAACTACCTTTCCGACCATGTGCGTTCTGTATCCGCGCTCAGCAAGCCACTGCGGCAGGAGTTTGAAGCGCAGAGACAGACCTCTGGGCTCCTCGTTGAAAATCACGCTGTGCTGCGTGCCTGGACATCCAAAAAACGATCCGTGGTCCGGCTTCGCAGATTAAACAACGTCTCAGACTACAGCCCAACAACTGCCTAGCCGAGTATCCTGTAACATTCTGTACACTCTGTACACTTCGCCTTCTTGGTGCTCTACACTGAGCACCAAGATGGCGACGTCCACAAGGAAGTCCGGGAACGCAGTGCCGATACCCTATAGCTTATATGGTGCCCGTATAGTGTTACCAATAAAATCTGCCAATGTATTAAAAAGAAAGGAATTCCGGTGCGCCTACCGGTATGGATGGGATACTGTCCGGTCATAAGCGTGGCCCGCGAAGGCGTGCAAAGGGGCTGGGTGTAGTACCGACTCAACCGGACACCGTTCCAGGCCAGGGCGTCGATGTTGGGTGTTCGAATCTGGGGGCAGCCGTTGAAGCTGACGTCGTTCCAGCCCTGGTAGATATTGGTATCACGCGCAAAACAAAAGCTGGTTACATGTACAAATGAAACGGTTGCCAACTATGATGCGAGTTTCTCCAAGAAAATATCTTTCACATGTATACGCGTATACAAGCGCACGCGCGCACAGACACGTACGCACATACACACGTGAAATCGCACCTCGACACGCGCTCACGAGTCAAGGCACACGCACACTAGCACGCTCGCGTGCACACGATACGAATTCGCATGCAAGCACGCGCGCACAATGGTGTGTTCGGAGACATTCATTTGGCGACGAGCTTCCTTTAGTAAACTTTGTTTTTTATGGAAACACAAACCGGGATTGGGCCCCGCGCGGTTACGCCGACGCCGCTCAAGCCGGAAACGGGCGCCTAAGAGCTGCGCTCTAGAAATTCCCTCCCCTGTCTCACATGTGAAGTCATTATGGGAAACGTCCCATAATGCAACGCGCTGTTATGCCGAAAGCGACGCCGACGGCCACACCACCACTCAAGACGGAAACAAGCGCCTAAGAGCTGCGTTCTAAAGAAACAAGAAACTTAAATGAAGCATTTATTTTTTTTTACCATAAAAAATATATTTTGAGCAATATTTACGCCGTTAGACTCAATTTAAGGGGGGGGGGGGGGGGGGTAGCCCTGCTCTAGGACCCGCCCGTTGCTTAGCTATACTAAGCACCGGGTGGGTCCTGTGCTAAGCACCGGACGGATCCTATGCTTAGCTATGCTAAGCACCTTCCTCAGCTCTCATCGGTTGGGGGGATAATTGACGTGTGTAAAATTGTTCTCCGCGCCGTAATAGGATTTCTATCGGCACTAGTTTTGTCTCGGAAAAAATGATATAGATTGAGTCATTATTGTTTTGAAAAATATCCTTCGGTTGCCTTGTCCGCTTCGGTTTTAAACGATAAGAAACCTGGCTGCCAGCGTTTGCAGCGTGCTCATCGAGCGTAGCTCGTTGAGTTCGTTTATTTTTATGAGTGCGAGTCGTTCTGCGTTCACCGAGGTGTTAAGAGGAAGATCTCAACCGACCTAGTTTGCAGCAAGCAACTGTCGCAAGTAATCGTTTTCGGAAGCGCTGTGCGGGTGCTAGTTTTCGTAGCGCGGCTATGGTGCCTGGAACGCGTCTCCGACTGGTGTGTTTACCGCGGCCAAAGAAGTGGTCCCTCGATTTCCGTCTGATGACGTCATAGAAGCGTCATGCTGTCACCGGTCGCGACCCTGGCGGCGTCCCAACAGTTGTGGTATAAATGGCAGACGTCTGTTTTGCTGCAGGTCGCTCTCCACTGTGACAGTTCACAGAAGCTAGGGCAGCCGGAAGTTGGGACGCCTGGGTCGCCGTGACGACAGCGACACTCGCGTTCGCTCGTGCTTTTCGCCAGCATTTCTACGGCCAACCGCAAGGATCGCGACAGGCAACAACATGACACTCCGGCTTCTGTGACGTTATTTGTTGCCACTTGGGGACCACTTCTGATGTATGGGCGGGATAGGACGCTAAACACACAAGTCGAAGACGCGATACAGGCACCATAGCGCGGCTGGCCTAAGCCTAGCGTCCCACGTCAATGTTGCTCGATCTCGCTTGATTTGTTCGTTTGGCCGTATTGATTCAAAATAAAGATGTTGGTTCCTGTAAAAGCGGCCCCGCTGCTCTGTGAATTGTGCAACCGCCACGATTGCAACCATGGTTTCAATACCGAGGAGATACCTACATAGGAAACAATGTGCGAGCCCCTTGGCTGGAAGCAACCGGGCGCTCGGCTCGCGTCAAGTTTGTCCAGCTATGTTCCCGTCATTTCGCCTCGAAAGCTCTCAAGTTTTGAAGTGCACCTGGCCTGCCAAAGCGAATATCTTTAGGTCACGTTTTAGTTGGACATCATGACGCTCACCCAATGCCATGCGAAGAATATATAACAACCAAAACAAAAAAGCTAAAAGGACCGCATATTTATTTTGTTAACTTTTTTTAGTCCTCTAGGTCGCTTTTTACCACACATCGACAGACGCCGACAGACGCTTGTACCGTGGCTCGTGCATGATGGAACGCTCGAAGGCCGTTTTCACTGTCGCGTCTCCTGAGCTTTGCAGAAGTTTTTAGACGGGGGATGAATAGCAAACGGAAGAAGGCGAAAACGGACGCCGACGCGCAGCTTTCGTGTCCGCGTCTTACGGGCATTGCAGACGACGATAAACGGTGGGGGAATAGCATAATGATGCCGGAGACTGCCCCGCATCCACTCGCACGACTAGCAGGCGGTGTCAGTCGCCAGACTTAAAGCACCGAATGTCGTGAAAGGGAGACACTAGGCGTGCGAGCGTCTTCGGCCGAGCAGCCAAGCCAATCCAGTAGTAATGGGCGAGGCCACGGATCTATGGGCGAGGCTTAGAGGCGGCCGTGGCCTCGACCCGAATTGCGTCTAACGGCGTAAATATGGCACGAAAAAAAAAGTTTTTCGTGGAAAAGTTGTTAAAAGAAGTTCGTTTCCCATCAATGCAGTTTGGACAAAAAACAATTTCTATTCTTATTTCAGTGTCCTTATAAGGCCGTTTCACGCTTGCGATTGACTACGACCGACTGAGACAAGAGCGGTTTTTAAACCTCTTGTGACGGCTTAACACCACTGAAGCCCAGCTAGTTGTAAGTAGTCGCTATAGGCTTACAAATCGGTCATGTCGAAGTCACTCGTAGACAAACGCAAGTGTGTGAACGGGCTTTTACTACCCAAGCCCGCCTGTTGCATTAATTCCACCTCGAATGATTGCTCTCTTTGGGGCATAAAGGTCCGTCCACGCGGAATATGACTTTCGTTGTGCACAACAAAAATCGTGAGGACAGTGAGCCCTTCAATCAGTTTCAGAAACAACTTCACGTTCCCCACAAACGATGAATGCAGCCTACCGCGCACTCACCAGATCATCTGCCAGAATGAACACAATGTGTGGCTGCGGCTCGGCCTTGGCCAATAGTAGAAAAGCCGTGGCCATGGCTCCGGAAATAAGAAGTAGGGCAGCGGAGATGAACGCCAGAGGCGAGCAAATCATCTTATTTGCATCCTGCTCCTTGTTGGAAGGCACAGCGACCTGAGACCTCTCAAAAGGTCGGCGTCGAAGCCTCGACGACCAGGTGGAATCGCTGTCGGCAGGATCTTGCTGAAAAGCATAAAAACAAATCTGACAAACTAGCGGAGAGTGTAAAGCAGAGAGAGCGAGTCAAAGACCGACGAACGGGTTGTTTAAGCAATAATACTAGGTACAGGAAACGGGATAGATAGCGGCGGTCTGCTTTAACTGACATTGCTTCCGGTAGACATTGCTTCCGGCAGAACAGGATAGCTTGCTGGGCTGGTTGGTTGAATGACATATCACAAAACCGCGCAAAAAAGACGGGACACAAAGTAGAAGGAGGACACAGGACATACGCTGACTAACAACCAAAGGTTTACTAGAACTTCCACGCGCGCACAGTGGCACGCGCAAGCACATGCTCTTCTTTCTCTTTCTACACAGATAAATGCTCGTAAAGAAAAAAATTTGAAAACAAAGAATGTGAGAAGAAAAAGAAATTTCTACAGCGTCACTATACTTCGTCTCATCCTAGCACGGACTAACTGCGAAACCCGTGCAAGCGCGAGCGGCTAGCCTTGATTGCCTTGACTGGAGCACTCGCTGCACAAAGGCTCGTGCAGCCGCCGAGGCTTCATCCAAAGCAACTAGCTCGCGCTTTTAGCATGCGCGGCTAACAATAGTCCATGTTAAGGTGAGACGAAGTATATTAGCGGCGAGATGTTTTGGTGGCGCACTCGTATGGTTACCTTTCGTGGCGTCATTGCCTTGGGAACAACAAGTTCGAAGGTGTTTGTAGCTTGACATCATAGCGTTGTTGAACCAACACTGTCAACACCGTCAAAATTGAAGTCCTCACATTCCCCTTATTTCCGTCCATGAAAACTCCTTTGCTGACGTCATAGTCAGCATTTCTATGTTTACACATGTGTTAAAAAAAAACATAAAATCAACACTAATGCCGTTTCTGCAGGTGGGTTGTACGGCCAGGCGCACACTATGTGGGTGGCTAATCTTTTGGACAAGTCGGCTATTTAATTAAAATTCGTTAATTAACTTTTTAATTAGTGGAAATTGACATATGGTTCCAATAGAAACTTGCTAAGCGTCATCCAAAAGCCCTAAATGAGTCATTTTCAGAAAACATTTCAGCGCGTGAGAAGCGTAGTAGCGCACAGAAGTTACCACTCGTGAAGCAGGTACAAGCCTAGCGGTTGCGGTATGGCGCCCGCGCAATTTTTCGGTCTCTTATCTAGCCCCAGCCTTGTACCTGCTCCAAGAGTGGTAACTTCAGCGTACTATGGCGCTTCTCACGTGCTCAAAGTCTTTATAAAAATGACTGATTTGGGGGTTTTGAATGACGCTCAGCAAGTTTCTAATTGGAACTTAATGTCTATTTCCACTAATTAAGAAGTTTATTAACGAATTTTTATTAATTAGCCGACTTGTCCCAAAGATTAGCCACACACATAATGTCCACCTGGCCGTATAACCCACACGCGCAAACCGCATTTGTGTAGCTTTCACGTTTTTTTGTTGTTTTTTTATTAACAAATGTGTAAGAATAAAAAAACAAACACCATATATATATATATATATATATATATATATATATATATATATATATATATATATATATATATATATATATATATATATATATATTCCGTCTAATTTCACAGTGGAAAAAATTACAGCCCTCCCCGAGATAGCAACTTAAACTGTGGAGTCAGAGATGCCAGAGCTTCAGCTAACTGTAGAAGGTGTTCTCTCACTACTACTAGATCTTGATACTAGGAAGGCACCAGGGCCGGATAAAATAGGTAGTACATCTTTAAATAGATATGCCGAGTGGATTTAGAAATGTTTATTCATTATATATAACGTGTATCTTCTAAACTTCCAAGTTCCAGATGACTGGCTATGCAGTAAAGTAATTCCCAAACCTCAAATTGGAAGCAAGCTACTATTACACAATTATAGGTGCTGTAAACTTTTAAAGCATATAATACGTAAGCACATAAGGGCGTACATAGAAACATAAACTGTAAACCCAGTCAGGATGGGTTTACAGCTGGTGCCCGTGCGGTTTCTCAATTAGATGCAATAGTTCACGATTTCGCGAAAGTCATTAATAACTGAAGTCAAATGGATGCCATTTTAATTGATTTTTCGAAGGCTTTTGATCGTGTGCCCCTCAGTAAATTTATTCATACACTTCAAGCTATCGGTATTAATGCGAATAATTTATCCTGGAAAGAAGCGTATCTAAGCGCACGTGTACAATTTGTAAAAATTTGTGATCAATATTCAACAACACTTGATGTATACTCCGGAGTTCCACAGGGTTCGATGCTGGGGCCATTGTTATCTCTTATGTATGTAAACGACTTGGGCAGGGATATCGATCTATCGGTGAGGGTCATGCTATTCGCGGATGACTGTGGCATGTACTGTGAAACTGAGAAAAGCGACCAAGAAAAACAGAATGCTTCATTACAGACTGTCTCACGCTGGTCCCTTGACTGGGGTATGAAGATCAATCATGCTAAATTGGTCGTCATGACGATAACGAACAAAAAGAAAGTTTTTTTATTTTCCTCATAAAATGTCGACATTCCCCTTAATGAAAACAAACACACGCAAATATTTTGGGGGTATATTAAAACAGGACTTCGACCTTCATTAGAATATGCGAGCCTCATGTGGGATCCTCACCAAAAATACTTAGCAAACGCCACCAGCAAAATCCGAAACTAAGGCTTCCGATTCATTTTCTCAAAATATAAACACACGTAAAGTATGACCGTCTTGCTTAAAAAAATTCTAATCGCAAACATTGTGTTGCCCGATTAAAGTGTATGCGTCAGTTATACCACGACTACCTCAAAAAAAATTCGGATCAATATTTAAAAACACCATACGGTCACTCAGATCGAACTAACCACACTAAAATTATAAGACCGTATCACAGCAATAATAACGCATTCAAATATTGTCACGGGTAGTGACCAAAAAAACAAGAAATAAACAGGAAGGAATAAACGTTTAATGTGGCGAACTTGTGCCAAAAATAAAAAGGTACAAAAGATAATAAAAGAGCGTCGCGGGCGTCGAAGTCGGCGTAGCAGCGGAGACGAACGCTGGGGCGAAACTGATGGCGGCTCGCCACGCGGAGCCCCTTATGTACAGTCGGGGACAAAGGTCTCCAGGACGTGCGAGCTGCGGCTGAAACGCATCGCTCTGCCATCTGCCGGCGGGTCGCCTGGTTTCGAGACCACACAAAAGCGCATGCGCGTCCTACTCTGCCTGCAAACATGTGCGTTTTCCCGCTCTTCTGCGGCACAGTGCCTAACTCGCAATCGGGCGCGTGGTACCGCCTCGGAGATAGCGCTGGCGGCTGACGAGCGTCTGCTACACACTCCAAAACTCAAGATACTGCCTGCGGCATTGCGCCGCATTTCGCCGTGTCAGCGCACCTTGCTTTATAACCAGTTGAGCTTATCGCTCAGTTGAGATGCCGTGACTTCTTGCTTTATCGGTGCCATGTGTCAGTATAGCGCTATCTCTGAGGCGGTACCACGCGCCCGATTCCGAGTTAGGCGCCGCGCCGCAGAAGAGCGGGAAAGCGCACATGTTTGCAGGCACAGTAGGACGCGCATGCGCTTTTGTGTGATCTCGAAACCAGGCGACCCACCGGCAGATGGCAGAGCAATGCGTTTCAGTCGCAGCTCGCGTGTCCTGGAGACTTTTGTCCCCGACTGTACATGCGTGGTCTTCTGGAATAATCGGCGTAGAAACTTCGACGCGTAGAACATTCGGACCTGGAACAAGCAACATGATTCTCGAATTCTCCAGAACACTAAGTTACAGGAATAAACAAAAGACACGTCGCTCCCAGGATTCGAACCCTAGCTTTTCGCGTGGGAGGCAAGCGCGATAACCATTAGGCTACGCGCGCGCTGCTTACTTGGCCAGCGCGCGCGGCATTACTCCCCCCTTTAAAAAGTGCATCGCCCCGATGCAGCACAAAACAAAACAAAGCAAACAAAAAGGACGGTAAACTAAAGAGCCATTTGGAATACGTAAGGTCCACTGTCCTATCGAGCGTAGTACGGCTTCATGCGCACGACGTGGACGACTTCTGGTCGTGGAGGGCGGCGTGATGAAGTCCGTGTTCCATCGGGCATCACCTCGTAGTTCAGATCACCGAGTCGACGAAGCACTATAGGGTCCAAAGTAGCGCTTCAGGAGTTTCTCGCTGAGACCACGGCGGCGGATCGGTGTCCACACTCACACCCTGTCTCCGGGCTGGAAGTGGACGTCCCGGCGACGAAGGTTGTAGCGGTCAGTGTCGATACGTTGTTGGGCTTGAATCCGGAGTCTGGCGAGCTGACGGACTTCTTCTGCCCGTTGGGCAACCACCTGGGCGTCGTCGCTTCCGTCGACAGCCGGTTCGTGGGGTAACATCGCGTCCAGCATTGTCGTCACTTTGCGACCATGAACCAGTTGAAAGGGTGTAACCCCGGTGGTTTCTTGCACGGCCGTATTGTAGGCAAAGGTGACATACGGCAACACCTCGTCCCATGTCTTGCGCTCCACGTCGACGTACATGGAAATCATGTCGGCGGTGGTCTTGTTGAGTCTTTCCGTCAGCCCGTTGGTCTGAGGGTGGTACGCCGTGGTGCGACGATGGCTGGTGTGGCTGAGACGAAGGACTTCTTGTGTCAGCTGGGCCATGAATGAGGATCCACGATTTGAGATAAGGACTTCGGGAGCGCCGTGCCGGAGGACGATGGATTCAATAAAAAACTTGGCAACTTCCACAGCAGTTCCGGAAGGAAGGGCTTTCGTTTCGGCATACCGCGTGAGATAATCTGTGGCGACGATGATCCAGCGATTTCCCGACGTCGACGGCGGAAAAGGACCAAGTAGATCCATTCCGATCTGCTGGAAGGGTGCCGTTGGCGGAGGAATGGACTGCAAGAGTCCGGCCGGCTTCGTTGGAGGTTTCTTTCGTCGCTGGCATTCATGGCATGATCGTGTGTATAAGTGGACGGTCTTGGGGAGCTTGGGCCAGTAATACT